CCCCCCCCCCCCCCCCCCCCCCCGTCTTCTCCCATCAACCTCTGGCCCTCAGTATCTGTACAAGTTCTTCTTAAAATATTTTTCAAATTATTACAGTTTTTTCCTTATAAAAACAAAAAAAAAAAAAAAACAATAACGATGGCCGAAAGAACAATTTAACTTCATTTACAATTTCTAATCTTCAAATTCTCAACAAAAAAATAAAAATCCTTCTTTCCAATCTTAACTCCTTTTCCTTCTCTTCTTTCGTTTTTCTTCTTTCCGCGAAGAAGACGAATAAAAAGAAGAATAGAAAGATTTAGCTACTTTAGGTTCCTCCGTTAATTTTGGTGACTGTTTTCTGAAACTTAAGTTTGATCGAAATCTATTTGAAACAATTACCATTTATTGTCCCAATATTTTGTTGTGATTTTTTTTTTTGCCTTTTTTTTCGCTCTTATTGTTTTATCTCTTTTCAAACAGCAAAAGAATAAAAAAACGAAGGCGAAAAAAAGCACTTTTTCCTCATAAAAAAATAAATATCAACTATCTTTTTGAAGATCCCCTCTCCTCCCCCCAAAAAAGAAAGAAAAAAAACGTTTTTTTATTTTGTCCCGATTCCCTCCTTCTCAATGCTCTTTCACCTCTTCCTCCTTGCCACCTCCGTTCCCTTCCCTTTTCTACCAGTATTGGACCAAATGACTAAACTGACCCATTGGATGATGATGAGTTTAAAAAAAAAATTTTTGTGAAGCCCTAATACTTATTGACTGCTGCTAAGATCTTCAACAAAAACAATAAACAAATACATATTGATAGATAGACAACAGTTTCTGCGGAAGAGACGATAATGGAACAAATAAACTAACATGAAGAAAAAATATATAACAAATTGGCAAAAAAAACTTCTGTTCTTTCTTTTTTTTTCCTTTCATTTTTTTCTTGTGAAAACAGCTAAGAAAAACTGAGAAAACATTGAAGAATAGCTGGTGAAAATTGTTTCTAAAATAGGGAGCAAAAAATTCCCTGGAAATTTCACCAGCAATAGCAGCCTTCAACAGAAACAGTACTTTAGCTTTCAGTTTAGTTTCAATAAATTAAGTCAGGAAAAATATGAGTGAAAAAAGCAAAATGGAAAAAAACTGAGGAAACAGTTTCAAATTTATTTGATGATCTCCATAACTTAAAATGATAGAATAAATCCGTTTTCTCACAGAAAACTTCAATTTTTGCTTTCAGTATTTTTTTTTTTTGCCCTTCTTTAAAAAGCCACCAGTATTCAAGTGCTCCTTTTGTTTCAAAAGACAGTTTAGTCTTGCGTCTAATAAATTCTTTTCTTTAGTCTCCTCTTTTATTTCATAAAAAAACGAAATCAAAAAACTTAACTTATTTGAATTAACATTGCAAATTTTAAACATCAGATCAAAATTCAGACATTTGGCTACAGAACAAAAAAAAAAGGGACAACCAAATTAAGTTATTGTCATTTGTACAGTTTGAAGATAGATAGCAGTTTTAGATGTTCAATTTTTTTCACTTTTTTTCACCTTTTTTTTTTTGCCGGAACAATTATGAATGAATGAGAAACCAAATATCTTTCCTTGTAACGGTAAATTAGGCAATCAAAAAAATCCCAACAGAATAAGAAAAGGAGAAGAAAAAAAAACGCAGAGAAAAAAAAGCAGAAATAAAATAACAACAACAAAAATAAAACAAAAGTTTTAATTTTACTTTTTTTTTTTTCTTATTGAAGAAAG